TGCGTGAGAGATGACGAGCTACCCGCAGAGGCAAGCAACTGACTCCCGTGAGGCAGTTGTAGGAGGAAGAGGCGTAATGTCGGTGTAAATATCACGTGAGGCTACGGGCGTTGTCACGGAAGACGCGATGGATCACGCGTCGTAGTGACGCCTTGGTCTTATCTCCGATGCGGCGATAGAACTCCCAACAGCGATGTTTCACATTGGGGATGGGCTGCTCCTAATTCCAATAGCATGAAAATCGGCAGTGTCCGTGTTTTGGAGCACAAAAATTTGCGCGAACAACTGATATAGCACAGCAGAGGGCGCGACAAATCACTCACACTACCAGGATGAATGGACTTCCTTGCAGTCAAGCTCGCAATCGAATGTCCATACCTGTTATTGGTATTACCCCACCCAAGGTATGCTGGCTAGTCTTAAGCGACAGGACCAGGAAAGATGTGTAGGCCATGGCTTGTGCAGAGCACTAACAGGAGTGCGGTAGCCTCGGGGGCACTCTAATGCGATGCCTTGGTTCACTGTCATTCATTAGCTTTCAGATCGGCGAGATAGTGCATGACTCACATGTTTTGGTGGTCAAAACTAGGGACGAGGAGACGGCAAAAAGCTATAGCCCTTGCGCTCGTGCCTTGTTGTCGAATTTCCTCGGTTATATTTAAATCGCATCGACTTCAGGATCAGTAGAATCCAGACAAGTCAGGCTAAGATTCACATAACTGCGACGCGGGTATTCGCGCTCTCTTAGGAATACCTGTATCTCTCACAAGCACTGTCTGGCTTGCTAATCCACGATGTATTCAATGAATGTCAGTACAGTGGCAATTTCAGTATGGGATCAATGGGGAAGTACTTCTCAAGTGGCTCAGACACAAGCCCTCTCGAATTTGGAGAGTCAGGAGAATAAATTGTAGAGCAAATTGCCGGGGTAGAGGACGTATTTATAGGCTTATCGGCTTCTGTGACTTACAAGCTTGGTACCTATCCTAATTGAGGTCCATTGAAACTCATGTTTTCTTTTTGCCGCAATATTTGCAGCGACATCTTTGATGCCTTGAGATGCTCAGCGAGAGAGAGAGTAAAAGTGGTGTTGAGAAAAAGGATGCTGAGTTGGTCAAGAAACGTTGGCTGACTGTTGAATCTTTCACGGCTCTCTAAAATTCAGGCACTGAGTACTATTCAATCCGCAATGGCAGGCTCATATTTCTTGTTCTGATACCTCACCTGTGATGACTCAACGTTGAATCACCGAAAAGCGCCTACAATTTCGTCCCGATAAGTATGTATTTCTTTTTCTTAACCTCGCTTTAGTGTGGTGTTGGTTGTGTAGAGCAATGAGTCTGTCCGTCTAGACTGCAGAACGCGAGGTCGTTCGACCCGTCAACCCGTTGAAGCTTGGCCACGCGTTGTCAACACTCAATTTCCGAACTTGCGACCGTGAAGACACGCCTATTTTTTATTTTTATTTATTTTTATTTTTGTTATCTTTTTCAACTTCTTTTTTTGATGACTATAAGTTCTACAATATTCCATTTGTCGGATTGGTATGTCAATGAACGTGAGGTGTTTTAATTCTCACTCTCTAAAGAGGTACTTTTACAGCTATTTCTAGTAGTAAAATACAATAAGCGAGAGTGCGATGTAACTGCAAGAGTTCCATGGTATAGAGCACCCGATGAGCCCTACATGGCCATTGCGCATGAATTCAGAGATGTTGAGGCCTCAGGCTTGGTGAGCCAATATCTCAACAAAAAGGTGCTACGCTGATTGACTTTCATGGTGAAAGTGAGAATGAGTAACCACCTACGTCTGCTAGTCTATAGAATCCTCTAAGAATTGATGGACATGCTATTGCCCAGACACTCGACTTTTCCCTACGATCAAGATGGATGCCCCTAACAGCACGTCAAACCAGGAAGTAGAAGGAGATTAACAGCCTAGTGCATTGCCCATCGTTTGTGAAAAAGACAATTCGCAGGAAACTTCTGATCATGTCCCTCCACTGCTAAGTAAAGCGGCTCAGCTTCCAATGCTCTTGCTGACTGCAGCAGCTCTCTCCCTCGCAACAGGAAGCAGAAACAAGACATATCTTGGCGACCGAGCCCTTTCAACCTATTTTAAAAGTGCTAGAAGACCTCGAGCGCGACGATCCCAAATTCGCCTTTCCCGCAGCTCGACTTTTCGGGCTCTATCGACGCCTATAGGATTCGTGTGTGTCCAAACACATCGATGGCCAGAAGCTAGACCAGAGCAATCGTATCTTGGAGGAGGCTAGCAGACACCTGACTAAAGAGAGGGACGGACTTCAGCTTCGCCACGACAAGCAGCTGTCTCGGCTGCGCTTTTTCGAGCAGGCACTGGAATCATCTCGGGTTCGACTGACTCGCGTACTCGATGCCTGGCATCACCCTTCCAGACTCAATCTACCAGGGTTCTTGGACAACGCAAGAGAAGGTTGAAGGATTGTATATTCTTAATTATTCTATTTCTTTTACAGTGAGGAAAGTACCCAACGATGCATCCAACTATGTTGTAATGAAGAGAATTACCGCATGGAAAGCACCTTATATCTTTTCAAGAATTCATATTGTAACTTTGTGGAATGTGTCTGCGAATAATGCCGCATGTCCTAGTGACGCTTTTATTAACCCAATATATTATAAACAAACAAACCACGGATCCAGCGACAATGTGGGCAGTGTAGCTAGCGGAGAAAGTGTCAATTAACTCGGCCGTCCCGCATTGCATCACGACAGTTACCCGAAGTGGATGTCGCCAGCTCGTACAGACCACCAAACCTTCTCCCCGGAGACCGCTTCAACAATCTTTGTGTAGTGTCGGCGTCTTCCATTCTGCTTCGAATGGCCCTCTGGATGCTATCGTTCCTTGTTAGATCCAGGGATTTTGCCAAACTGAAGTAATTCAGTCCGGGATTGACCACAAGTGCATCAATAATCGGGAAATGTCCACCCTTGACTGCCAACGTCAATGGATCCTCAGTATCGATTTCTGACGCTTACATCAATTCGATCATGGCTTAGTAGTGCTTGGACCATCTCCAAGTCACCACCACTGGCGGCAATGCAGAGAGCAGTGTCGTGAGTTGCGATCGTACTTTCATTGATGTTCAGACGTGCGCCTTGCTGCACTAAGAGTCTTACCACATCGAGATGGCCATGTGCAACCGCTCGAAAAATAGGCGGATCTATTACATCCCTTCCATTGATCTCCACACCCTCCATACTCAGTAGACAAGCAACCGTGTTCACGCGACCGTGATATGCAGCCACGGAGATTGGAGAGTGGCCTCCAACACAGATATTCAGACTGATCCCTGGCACCGCAAGCAGCCGTCGTAGGAGCACGGTATCCAACCTGGCCGCGGCGTGGTGGAGAGATGTAGACAGCGTCTCGAATCTCCCGCGGCCTCCAACAAAATTGACGTTGATGTCTTTCTCGGCCAACAGCCTTTCGGTTATCTCGTCGCATGACGAGTAAGTAGACAGCCAAAGTGGCGTGTTTGTCTTTGCAGTTCACGTTGGCACGGGGGTGACTTAGGAGCAAATTGACCATTTCCAGGCGCTTGTTTCGAATCGGGAGATGGAGCGGCGTATAGCCATTGCGGTTCGCCATACGCCCACGAGCAGAATGGCAAAATGGAACGGCCTCGTGTGTATTGTGGCAGAGCCCTTTTAGCTGATTCGAAGCTTCCTGCTTTCTTATGGGCTGAGATAATGAGTTCTGTCGTATATTTCAGAAACCGAACTGTCGATCACGGAAGAAGACTCGCTAATCCCAGGAATCCGGTCTCTCGTAAGAGAACTGGTTGAAGTATGTGATAGTGCGCCAGCCAGCCTTGCATGGCTTGTTCCATGATGCGGGTTTCATTTCGCTGGGTTTGCTTCACCTCGCGTTGATGCTCTAGGTTCCAATTGGAAGTAAAAACTTCTGCCGAAACATAGGTGACAGAGGCAATCACCACCAAGAGAGAAGCGTAGATGTTGAATTTATGATAGAAAACAAAACATCCAATAAACAACTTGGCCACTACCGGGGCGATATTGAGAATAGCCATTTTTAGAATATTGTTCAACGCTCCGCCCTAATCGATCGACTTTACAAGCTCTGCTAAGTCATTCTCGATGTAGAAATTCATCGGTAGATTCATGATGACAGAAAGCCGTATGTGATTTACCGGTAGGAAAACCATCTGATCGAGATTGTCACGGGTGCTTCCATCAGCCCTAATCCAGCTCCGCCACCAACAAGCTGCAACAAAGCACACTTTCCCAATGAGGCGTATAGCGTTTCGTTAGGAAAATACTATCGGCAAAGTCGGCTAACCGCTAGTGGATCAGAATGTTCAGAACTCGTTGACACGCGATACAGACAACGCTAGTGGCAATATAGAGCGTTCTTTACGATTGTTCCTAGGGATCAAGTATATGAAAAATGCTAAAGCCCTTCGAGTAATTCCACTATTACCGAGAGAATGGAGTCGTTCTCTACGAAAACTTTTGATCCGAGCAGCACTTTTATTCTTTTTCTTATCTGAATCGGACTCGCTGTCAGACTGAGCACTGTTATCATCCGAATTCGGACTATTGACCGCGCCGTAGGCTGATTGATTTCCATGTAGAAAGGGGCGCCACTCGTCCGAGAACTTTTTCTTTCGCTGCCTGATTTCCAATAGAATGCTTATCATGAGATGAAAAGAGTGTTGATTCTGGTAAAGTATATACTGAGGTCGAGGGGGTTGAAATATCCTGGAGCATAGCCCTGACTCGGAGGTTACAAACCCGATGTGGCAAAAGGTGGCAAAAGGAAGGGTAACTCAAAGAGGGAAAGTATTGCATGACGCTAAATCCTCAGTAACCCCAGAGGCACCGTTTAAGTCAATAAAATACTGATCCCCATATTCCTGATAAGTTCCAACCTCCTGTAGACATGTCGCTTAGTGGGGCTTGGCAGTATGAGCCAGTCAGGGTCAGTATGTGCACCTAGCAGAAGCCCTTGGTAGTCCCATACTTAGGAGCCTGAGTGTAGTCGATAGCACCGTCGTTGATTGGATACCAGCCATCCTTTCCTTGTTGTACACAATCGCCGTTCCACCTGTCTCCATCAAGACGCTTATGCTGAATGGCGACACACTAGTTATAACTTATTAGATAATTTTCAGACTGCAGTTATCAGAAGCGTATTATACTTACTTTCTGAACGCCAAAATCATACTGACCCTAAAATACTATTAGCTGTGCAAACCTTACGGGCAATGGGTGAAAACACTGTACCTCTGTATTGGGAACATTCCTGCGGCAAGCATTAAAAGTAAGGTCCTTATCCGCTTGCCAGGTATTTCCAACCTTGTAAGCACACCAACACTGCTGGTGCTCATCAGCAAGTACGCCCAGGAAGGGAAGTAAAGAAAGAGTAGCAAGAGTGGCGATGATCTGCATTGTGAAACTTGAAATGCTTTTGCAGGGCTTATGTTGTAGTTTGAAGTAGTAAAGGGTTCTGAGTAGTAAAGGATAACCAGAAAGTAGTAACCAACAGTAGGTTTGGGAACCTGTCCCCTTTTATAATTTTGCTGGCTAGCTTTCTGAGGAGTATAAACAGTTCCAAAGGTGCTAGTAGGCTATATTTACTTAGTGTGAGTTGTATATTTACCGTAAGCACATGTTTTCTAGTCTAGTTGGCGCCGGTAATCTAAATTATTTGCTCAAGGTTCCTCAACTGTGGATGTGGGAAGACCCACCACTAACTTACTGGATTGTTCAGAATGTAAAAGAAAGATTATATCTAGGCCTAAAAACGCACGGAAAATATCAATCCGGTTGGGCCTTATCAATTCTAGCATTATTTTGTGCAGACCTGGATAATCTATTTTCATGTGTCCCTTTTGTTATGCGGGGGAGGAGGCGATTGTGCTGTTTGGGGCAGAGAAAGGACACGCAACTGACAAGCAAGTGCCAGCGAAGGGTATACTATACTGATACTAACCAGTGTAGTATGGTATGCAGCACAAATACTAACTATTCCCTGGCTGATCGAAGTCGCCATCTTGAGGATTAGAGTAAAACCGGTAAGAATAAAAAGCACGCTATGGTTGTAGGCTAAATGCGCTAAACTCTTATTTTACCGCAAGTAACACCCGCCAATCTTAATTTCTGCTTAAAGTATGGAGTACCTTAACCTTCACTGCAATAATCCGAAATAAGGTATGGCAGCCCCCCGATCTCAGAGCAGGGCAGACAGAGAAATCCACAGAAGCAGCCTAAAACAACCTGTCGATGAAAGTACCTCGTACATTTTTAAAGCAAATCTACGAACAATCCCCTGGGCAAGATAACGAACATTCTTGTTGTAAACCAACACTAGCCATGCCTGCAACATTGGCTTTAATCTGTTGCTTGTGCGGTACTTCGACGCTATATGTTTGTTGTTCCCTGTCTCTATCATCCGTTTGCATTTTCCATGCGAAATTAGCCGATATGATTTGCATGGAGTGTGGTACTGCTTCCCAGCCTAGTGGTTAGCAAGGTGTCCCAGAAGCACAGTATAATCGCCCATAAGCCCGCCACCCCTCCTGCGTTGAGAATTCCTCGTGAAGCCTGTTTGGTCTGCGAGTACCTGAATCCATGCGGCTGTTAAGTTGAGTCTCGCTCCGTCAAGTGGAGGCTTTCTCGCCACTCTAAAGGCTGAGTAATCACAGATAGCCCAGGCCAGACCAAGCTGTGCAAGGGCTCAAAGTTTGCAATGAATTTTACCCATCGTAACCGAGGTAGACGTTTCGAAGCCCCATTCGGTATCCGGTTTGAACCTACTAAAACAAGTTAAGATATTTATACACTTGATAGCAGGCTGGAGTAATAGGGAAAGGATAGGGCACGGTAGGGATATAGTTACCGGATTGCAGTCAATACATGTGTGCAGTAATGGGTATTGGCTTACTCCTGCTGCATTGATTTGAAGGCACATTTTGCCCCAAGAATTCGAGTAACCCCACTTCCTTGCTGCCTGGCTCCATTCCAGAACAAGTATCCCATACAGGTGACGCCACGATACTCCACGAGGTAAGACCCAAGAACTACTTAAGTACTGTAATAGTCCAAAAAGCATTATATAACGCTCGCCAGGTCTTTCGCAGCGGCTGTCTTCCTCTGTGACCTCTACTACATTGATTCACTGTTAATTCATTTCAGTGATCTTTCAACGACAGAAATGAGACCTATTTACTTAGTCCCTCTTGGCCTACTGGCTCTCCCAGGATGGTGCAAGCCAGTCTCTGATCCCCATTCTAGGACTGTTGATGTGGCCCCAGTCTCTCCAAACTCCCTCACTCCTAAGGGAGATGTACCCGGATCAACCACTATGGTCCACCATTTTCCGGAGTATGAAAGACATCCTAATATTATGAGAAAATATGAACTGACTCTTATTAGGAACATGAATGCAAATACACATGGTCTTGTACCTCGTCGCAACCATAAAGTGGTAATTCCAGGACTGGGAACCTCAACCGACCAAGCGGTAATCTCAAACAACCCGTTCGGTTCAATTTTTATTGAAATCGTTCTCACGTCAGCAACCGACATAGTCTTCAACATTCTCAACGGCGAGGATGGCCAGTATCGTTTCACTATATTTGATGTTTTGGGGAACGTTATCAATAGAATTGATATAGACGGCAACAGTTGGGGGAGTGTTCCTAACGCTCGGAGGATGTTTGAGGCAGGGGCGGAGTATTATGTGTCGTGGTTCCAGTCTTAAGAGTCTGAGACTAGACTTTCGGGGTTTTCCCCTACCTAGGGGTATACTGTATAACTGATTTCGAAAACTACTGTATATAACGGAACTCGCGGAGATGAGCCTTATGCGCGCCCTTAGCTATAAAACGCCTGGGAAAAAGCCAGCAAGCAAAAGATGGGTAAAGGAAGCTACAAGGCGCCCCATTTTATCAATTTCAGGCAATAGGCTAGTACAGCGTAGGCGTGAGAAAGAAGATGAGTCGAAGCTTCGTGCTTGGCGAAGGGACGCAATGAAAATGGCGGCTGATTTAGCAGCTAAAGAATTGGAGGAAACGCTTGAAAATGGGGATGACGATACATCATTGGCTAGTGAAGCTACTGATGGGCTTTATTTCATGGATCCTGGACCTTGTACGTCTAAGAAACGAGCCAGAAATTAAAGAAATTGAAACTTTTGCATTATGGCTGTTAATTGCATTTTGGCTGTGGGATAACCCCCTACCAGAGAAGGTGGGGGTCGTCCTGTGACACCTACGACTTCCTTGGACCAAGGTCTTTCCATCATCAATGGAGAAGCGAACTCCCACACAAGGAGGGTAAGAGAGGATGCGTATGAACCCAGCATTGAGTATTGCTAATTATCTCCTGTGGATCAAGTCTATTACTTTCCAGTGACAGGAATCTTGGTGGCCACACGCGCCGAGAGAGCTGAAACGTCTTTCTTTAACTCTTCCACCCCCACCTTCTTTCTAAGTCTCTAAGAAACGAGTCTTAGCGGTCCCCTCCTGCTTCTACGGTTGCTCGTCTGTGTATATTGGCATGTTTACCCACACTTGCCGAACACGGAGTCACTAGTTACAAATCTTGCTCCACACGCCAATAAATTGTAATCGTCTGGGCGCCATCTGGAAGCGGAATCATAGCGAACTGTCCTTCCGAGCCCGAGTTTATGTCACTGGTGTCCGCCTGCCCCTCCAAACTGTAATGGGTAACTATATTTCCGTTGTGGTAGACATTAAAAATGACCTCTGAATAGGTTCCTGTGGGTGCCACGAAGACATCGATGACTTCCTGATTCGCGTTCAACGCTGCCCGATAGACGTTTATTTCGGCCCCCGATTGGAATCGTTCCGTTAGGCTCCGAACGTCGCCGATGGCGGCTGTACTGAAGCTCCAGTGGAAATCGAAGCTCGATGGACGACCAAAGGTCTCACGCCATGGAGTCATGATTGGGTGCGCGTCCGGCTGAGTCGTGATTGGGTGCGCGTCCGACTGGGGGGCAGCCAGGGTGACAAGCGGTTGTAGACATATTAACAGATACGTCAGAAAAACAGGGAAGAACTATGCTGGTCAGTCTAGGTGACCAAAACGACGGCAAATATACATACCATGATTTGTTATGAGAACAATACTAGTTTAGTCTGGATAAACAAAGTATTTGGATGTAGTTGAGAATGGTTTGAACAGATCTAATAAATAATAGGGCCTGCCTGAACGATTTTATATAATAATGAAAACTAGTGTCGGGACATATACTCCCGTCAGAATAAGCAAAGACAGGTTGAACGTAATCTTGCTAAACAACGGCCCCCGCCGTATGGATTCAGGGGTATTGAGCCTTGACCTAGGAGGAACATCTATTTTACATGAATCAAATTGACTTTTGCTTTGGAAGCATAACCACTGTCCACTTAACTGTGTACACAGTACCTAGCTGGTGATACCAACAACTAGAGTTTCTATCCCTACTTTATTAGCTAGAATGCATTGTTTCTCTACATAATACTGTAGCAATTCGTATCCGGTTGATCCGAACAAAAAGATATCCGGTCCATCCGGCTGAAAAGACACCCGGGTCGTTTGATCTGTAAATGTTCAAAATATTTTCATTAACAAAGGTATCCCTAAAATTGTTTCACTTTAGTTAAAATAAACTTATTTTGCCGTTTATCTTTAGCCTTTATTACCCATTGCGGGCTTTGTTACTCGTTGCCCCTAATCACCAGCCGTCTGCTCTGGTCCATGCATGGAGCACCTAGAATGATTGGGACCGGCCGGTGAGAGATAGGGAAAATTCGAATGGGAATTGAGAGCTTAGAATTGGTATGTATAGCGGTATAGCAGCATGCATCTCGAGGATCTATGATTGACATGAACAAAGGGCTACGAAGAGCATTTCACATAGCAATGACAGCAGGATTAGCGCTTATATACTAAGCCACGTGGAACAAGAACGATAGAAACTTGCGGGCACCGACCCGGTCACCCAGAGCTTGAAATTACGTCTTACGGGAGGGGGTACTCCGTACGGAATAGCCCCTTCGGTTAAAATATCTTAATAACTAGAAGAACTGATATCCAACGGAGCAGATTTGCCGCAGCCTAATCAAGATACGTGTTAGTGAGGTTTCTTCCTTGCACTGCCCCAGCTTCAGCTCGTCCCTTTACTCACACTACGTTTTATTCATTTGGTTAGACGGTAAATCCTTATATAAAGTAAGGATTAGCATTTTACATAATTTGCCAAGCATAAAAGCTGCTTTTTTGACTTCGAAAAAGGACATCTGAGAATAGACAGGAAGAACAGCTAAAGCGGCTGAATTAGATAAAGCTATTTAGGAGAAAAGCTAACCAAGCTAAAATAGACTTGATTAAAAAAACTCTGTGGCGAGGATAATAGTTTAAGATGTGAGACACGGATCGGATTTCGGATTGCTTGGAAGAAAACGATACGATTGGCGGTGTAGTTATAGTGGGCTCCATTAATTTGCCTTGGCGTGCCAACTGCTGTATTACTGCTAATTAGAGATACAGTGGTGTAAACATTAGTATTTGACCTCCAGTACTTCGGGACCGTGACCGCTTTTTAGACCGCCTACTTTACTAGTACGTCAACACTCGCGTTTTCAACGCGCCAGTATCTACGCTATAATTTTTACGCGTTTCTCACTCTGTCTCTCTATAATAATGCCTCCAATACGCGGAAAAAGAGGTCCAGAGCTTGACTGCCTTACCCGGGCTAAGATCTGCGAATTACATGCTACAAATGGCTGGGGTGCTACGACTATTAAGAAGCAGCGCTTTCCCGACATTCCACGCTCAACTATTCAATACACCCTTACCCAAGAGGTAAAGCGTCAAAACAGCAAAGTCTTCCACGCTCAGGCCAACCGAGGAAGCTTACTGAAGAGGATCGTGACTATATCTACGATACTATACAAGAAAAGCCTTCAATTTTGATCAAGGATCTACTCGGAGAGGTTGATTTTAAGGTCCACCGTATGTCAATTTGGCGTCTAACCCACGAAATGGGCCTTCGAAAATGGAGAAAAATGCAGCGGCCGACCTTAACGCCTACACACGCTGAGAAACGTCTACGCTGGGCCCTTCAATATCAGCATTTTACGTCGGAGGATTGGGCCCGCGTCTATTAGTCTGACGAATGTACGGTTGAACGTGGTATTGGCCAGCGTCAAGAATGGACTTTTACGCGTCCGAAGGATCAGCTATTTCAGCATTCGAAAGAGGGCCATCAGGTTCAAATGGTTCCAGCGCGAGGGAAGCAAATTAAGCAGATGTTTTGGGCTGCTTTTTCCGGTCTTCCGCGTCGATCAGGCCTTATTCCACTATTCGGAGATCCCTTATCTCGGAGAGGTGGCGTTTCTTCGCGTACGATCGAAGAGCTTTATCGGCACGTCTTACCTACGCTACTTAATAGCATTGATTCTAATGCTATTTTTCAGCAAGATAACGCGCCTGTTTACACGGCATATATCGTACGGGATGCTTTAAGTGAGCTTCGATGCGATATCATGGAATGGCCACCTTACTCGCCTGATTTAAACCCAATTGAGAACCTCTGGGCGCTACTCAAACCGAAATTCTTAAGCGTCATCCTGAGCTTATGCAGCTTCCTAATAACGTATCTACGCTAGAATTGCTACTAGAAGCTGCGCAGGAAGCATGGGAAAGTTTAGATATTGATCTATTTAAGCATCTATCGGAGACAATGCCTCACAGGGTAGCTGATGTCATTAAGTATAATGGGTGGCATACTAGCTATTAAATTGAATTCAATTTTGGAGGTTTCTGCTGGCAGTATTAAAAAAGTGGGTCCTGGCCCGAAGTACTGGAGGTCAAATACTAATGTTACACCACTGTACCAGCGTCGTAACACGCTAGGAACGACTCCTGAGATCTGATAACGCTTCAACAGCAAGATCCAGATAGATACAACTACCAATGAATCTCAATGGGACACCTCAATACTAGCACATACCAGTATCTGTCAATCCGACAGAATTGAATAACTCAAGATTAAACTTTTCTGCATATCGTTACAATCACTAATTCCCCACTAGTTCCCCACTGTTTCCTCCGTCATTTTCGCCATGTCATCTTTGACCCAATTCCCAGAAAGACTTGTGCTGAAAAGAGATCCCCTTCCACCGCCAATGTGGTGACAATCTCAAGAAGCTCATACACAATATGAGGACAGAATCTTTATCATGCATTCTGCTTCAACTTCGCTAAAAACATGCGAAATCTATGAATGAACGGCTCCGTTTTTTTGTTTCGAAAAATCACATGAGCATCTCGATCTTAATCAGACAAACCAAATTGAACCCTTTGCTGCCATCATCTTTCTAGTTAGAAAATATAGTGGCTTTCTATGCGTTTTGTATCATGAAAGCTGCCTGAAAAGAAGACCAAACGCTACACGGACAGCCAGATCTTGGCTGTGCCTCTGCCGGGATAAAATACAACACACATAGCCGCCAGGTGCGTTGTACTTAGCCTATTTCCTCCCTTCACCTTGCTAACCCCGAGCAACTCGGCTGCTTGGTGATGGCTGAATTCTACAACGACCACGGGGGAAGTGTCGTCGAACTCCGTAGGGGTGATTGATACTGGTTTGCTGAGCTTATCATTATCAACGAAGAAGGTGCGGAAGAATGCCGTGTCTATTTGGAGCTGTCAAGTGTTAGCTTAGATTGGGTAGAAACGATGCTGTGACTTACATTTATGACTGTCCGGTTGAGCGCGTACTTGTTCAAAGCCAGTGCTGCTTTGACGCAGTCTCCAATCTGCTTCTTGTCCATTGAGCAAGTCCCAACATCTTTTTTGACGGCCTTCTTTGGGTTGGGTCTTGTACGGGCCTTCTCCGTCGGTTTCTTCTGGTCCGCCTCGACGGGTGAAGACGCGCGCTGAATAAGATTTTTAGTTGCAAGCGCCGATTCAAACTACTCGGAATGAAGCAATAACCCACCTTTCGTGATGCTAACATGTCGTCGAGCTGGTCAAGAAGCTGATTCAGAAATATGTAAGGAAGTGGAAGAAAGAGCGGAACCTCCGTATTTTGGAGAGAATGCGGAACCGATTTTGAACACGCAAAACGTATTGGGAGACGCGTTGTCGAATGAGACTCGTCTAGTTGTGGTACGCCACTCTGGAGTACCGCTCCTCAGATCGTCGAATCAAAATCGAGAAACCACTTTGCCCCCGGCGCCGACGATCCACCCAAATTACCCCTCGTCCTGGAATATCCTCTTTCCCCCTCCTTTTCCATCTACCTACACTATTGACAGCTACCTTGATAATTATTCTCTGTCCGTATTCTGCCAACATGTCTTCCAACAAGGGATACAACATCACCAGCTCTGGCATGAACAGCCAGGTATGTCACAACAAGCCTTCAAGTCCTGTCTCGTTCCTCGTACTTCATGATCTGCCGTGAACCCTCTTCCATATTAGGTACTAATTAAGAAGTATTTGGTGTGGTAATGACAAAGGAACAGGGTAATCACTATTGCTCCCGCGACTACGGCTCCAGCGTCTCGAATTCGAACAACTACCACTATTCGAACTCGTAAGATGGACCAGCTACCTAGGCTTGACTTTTCTATCCCATGCATTGACCATCATTTCTAGAAACGGCTCTTATTACTACTCTAACCCCAATGGGAGCACCTACTACAACAATGGACAGGGGGGCTCGACCTATACTACTCCCTCGGGCTCTGGGAAGAAATAAGTCCAGCTAGACTAAGAGTATTCACTTGATTGACAACCATAAGTCTAGCTAGTAATATTTGAGTCTCGTTGATGATAAATTTTGCCTCGTAATGAATATGCACACCTCAATACACATAAAGCAGAGCTAAGGACACCATAGCAAGCAAAACTTCTCTATTTCCCGTCAACAAATTCGTTAAGCTCTTAGAAAAATTGCTAAGAGCCGAACGAGAGGTTGGGACCAGAGGAATCGGTGACTGAGGGGCGGGCTGTTGTGATATGAGGCTGGTGCAGATCTGGAAGAAAGCCGCACTGTCGGAAATAATTCCCGAAGTGTTTATACGAAGAAGCATGTTGATTGAAGATCATCTTGGAC